AATATAATATAATATAATATAATATAATATAATATAATATAATATAATATAATATAATATAATATAATATAAATCATCCATACATGTATGCATATATACATATGTATGTACATATGTATTGTATAGTCTTCATTGAGAAGTATTCAAGTATATAATACATATAAACATATATATATCTATATACATGGATGGATGGATTGTGTGTGTATTGTTGTGTCTATATGTTATAATATATATGTATATTACATATACACACAATTGTATGCACACAATACATACATGTATAGTATATATTCATATATGTGTGTGTAATATGCGTATATATGCATATCTGTGAGGGAAAGAAGAATAGAGATGTGCCTCTATGAATACACACACATTATAGCAGCTGTTTAAGCATTAAATCCAGCATTGCTCCATCGATTGGCTGTAAGTGAAAGGGTCGCTGATTCACAGCAGAGCCAACCCATTTGCTAACAGGGGTATTAAAGAAAGTTTTTTTTTTTTTTAATTACTAGAAGTGTCATTGCGAAAAATAACCCCCGGGGGGTTCTTTGCAAATATTACCTCGCCCCTAGAAACGGGTGGGAACTCTTTTGCCGAAGGTAAAGCTAAGCGCCACCACCTCAAGGAACAAAACACCTTTACAGTCTTTTCCCACGCGGTTCTCACGATTAGAAAACCATGGGCGAGCCGGGCAAACGAACAGACAGAGAGGCGCCCTTCTAAGTGAATTCTCATTGTCTTTCTCAATGTGTCCGGCGTTTATTTGGAAAGTCCATCTCGTAACTGTCCAGTTGGCGGTCCCTTCTTTTCGAGCCTAGTCCAGTTGCAAGGGGATCCTGGCTGGCTCGTTTGCTCGGATTGCAGCTTAGGTGGGTTTCAGCTGCAAAGGGGAAGCAGCTGACTCAGCGCATTCTTATTTGGTGTATTTCCTCCCCCAGTTGAAATGTGCGTGCTAGATTCCCTCGCCTCGCCCAGCGATCACAGTGCCCCTCCGCTTCCCACAGAGACAAACGTCCAGTAGGAAAGGAAGGAGCTGTCGGATTATTAGGATTTGGTTTGGGGCTAATTTTAGCGCAGGTGAGATCTGGCCAGGATCTTTATTGTTGGCACATCAACGCACGTGCAAACTGGGCACGTTAGTAGCCAAAAAATGCCCTGCGCCTTAGCGCGTCACATCTCAGCCTTTCCCCTCGCCCCCGTGGGAAGCAAAAAGCAGGAAAAGTTGAACGACCAAAACTTTTAGAAAGAGGAAATGCCCAGGGGTCGTTAACAAGCTATGGAAAGCGATGGAGGTGGGGGACTTGGTCTTAACCGCGTGCTGGTTCTTGTTGTTGTTAAGTAGCAGAAGAATCACCCCCAGCTCGAACAGCCCAACCACTGCCCAGACTTTCGGGGTGAGTCCCCGCTCCAGCCAACCTATTGCTTGGGGAGGTATTGAAACTAAGAAACGTGCCATTAAGATCCCACCTATTAACAGCTTTGCCTATGCTCCCGTGTCTCAAACAAATAGAAATACTGGGGCGTGCTACCAGACCGATTGGGTTTGTCCCCACCTGTAAAAATCTGACTTTCCTGGTAGCAAAAGCATAGCACCATGCAACTACACTTACTCCTTCCTTACTACACACTGCATCCAGGCTGGATTCGGGGGCTCAGTGCCTGTAGGTTTCAAGCTTTCCCCTCCAAGAAACGATGTGGGATTGTTATTCCTGGGCCAGAAAAACCCGCAGGCATCGTAAGCACTCCGCTCAGCATTTGTTCTCCCGCTGTGTGACGGCTTTGCTTAGGAAATGATTCCTCTGGTTAGGGCATTCGGCTCTCTGCTCCCGGCTCCAAATGCGGTTCTAGGTATTTCGGATGGGGCTGCCGTTAGCTGGCTTCGCCCACTGACTCACCATTTGTGACAAAACACTGCCTGGGCTGTTTTGCAGGAAGAAGTCTGAGCCCTTTCCTCATAGTCACCTCTGTGTATGTTGTTATTATTTCAAATGTTTTAACTAGGTGAAATGTGTCTCATGAGAGAGAACAGAATAGCTGTTAATGTGCAGCTGAAAATTCAGCCAGAAATTCTTTCTTTCCGAGTCAGTTGCACTAAATCTCTCCAGAAACAGATTGACTACAATAGCAAAAAGCATCATAATCAAACTAGGGTTTTGCCCCTCCGTTTCTTTTTCTCCCCTTACATTCCTGCAGAATATATTGATTTATCATTATTTAGGTTAATGGAGGAAGCAGCTAAGTCCCTTGGTGGCTTTTCCACATATGGTTGCCCGTCAAATTAGCAGAAAGACAAGTCCACGAGAAATCTTGTTTTTCACTGTTAATCATATTTCAAACTGTCGTTCTCCTAAATGAAAAGCTCGATTTGCACATCAGTTAAAATATTTTGATTTGTAAATTTTAAAAAAATCAAAATCAATTTTTCCATTTACAGTTTTCCTTTTTTTAAACGCGGGTTATTTTGAAAATGTTTTAAATGTCTCATTCGATTTAGCTGAAAAATAACCTTAGTTCTTTTAATCAAAAAATGTTGCATTTTTCTTTGTAGTTCATCTTATACACTTCCCTGTAAGTTTACAGTTTGCCCTTCTATAGTCATCTACTGTGTGTCCTATTCTAAATTTATATTATTATTAGATAGATAGATAGATAGATAGATAGATAGATAGATAGATAGATAG